CCCCCCCCCCATTTTCTGATAACATGTCACATGACCCCTTTGCACAGAAGTTTGGGCACAAAGGCAAAGAAAACTGAGTGGAAACAAGAAAAAGCAAAAGCAGATTTGGAAAGGGTTCTGGCCTGACCAGGAGCCAATTGGAGGCAATGATGTAAAGGTTAGCTGGGAAGGAGTCTGACGCCGGCCTGATGGGAGACTCTCCCTGCCATCCTCACTTTAAGGAAGGGGTGTTTTAGAGCCCAAAGGTCCCATGTGATAGGGCCTCAGGTCACCTCTTTGGACCCTTCCCCTTTCATTCTCCTGCCCTTGCTTAGATCCAGCCACCCTGGCCTTCTCTCCATTGTTTGTGAACACCAAGCATTCTCTCATCTCAGAGCTTTCGCAATTTCTGGGGTCTCTGTCTAGAGCACTCCTGCCACTGCATCGCTCCCTCACTGGGCCTCAGCCAGACACCACCTCGTCAGAAAGTGTTCCTTTATCTACGACAGGCCCTTCCCCGGATTCATCATTCTGTAGCCCTTTACCCTGCGTTGTCTTTCTTGATAGAACCTCTCCATCAGACATAACCTTACTTGTTTATTTATATTACCTAGAACACAGACGCCACAAGGCAAGGACTTTGCTTGGTTCACTACTGATTCTCCAGTGCCTGGAAGTGTACCCAGCACGAGCTGAGCCCTCAATCAATATTTGTCATGATGTGACTTTTAAAGCATCAATCTCAATGCTTATTAGCACAAAAGTTGGTCTCACGGAAGCACTCTGTGTTTTTTGGTGGAAGGTTAATTAGCGTACTAGTTGACAAGGGAGTCACTGAGGATGGGAACTTTGGCTTATTCGAGCAGTGTGGATCTGTTCAGAAAGGCTCTGGTGCACCACACTGCAAAACCACTGTCTAAACGAGATGCTGAGTGTCACCTTGTGAAGGAAGAACCATGAGTCCCATCTAGAGCCACTCTGATCTGAGGTGGGCCCTGGAAATACGGGGGGAGAAAGGTGGAGAGTGGCATGTGTGTCTCCCCACAGGGCTATCCCAGCTCATTGCTAGATTCGGGGATTTCTTTTTCATGGTGTTTTTGGGGCCTGAGTCCAGTTTTACATGATTTAGTGACCAGGTATGAAGAATGCCTCTGGGTGGCAGGTGAGGTTGGCACATAGTACAGGGTCCAGTGGCCATGTGCACTGTTCAGGTGGACTGTGGGAGGATGATAGGAGAGAAGTGGGTGCAGGAAAGGGAGGAGAATTTGGGGACCATTGGGGACTTCTGAGCAGAGCCAGGGAGGGGAAATCTGGGAGTAGTCAAGTGGTGATGTGACTCTGGAAGCCAGTATGCTGATCATCTGTCCAAGGTGAAGTGATTGTTCAGGAACTGGACAGAAGAGGGAAGGACCTCGGACGGGACTGACATCCTAGGTGGAGAGATGGAAGCCATCCTGACAAAACAGTACTTCAAACCCTGCCATTGTTTCTTCAATGCCTCCTTCCACTGTTTCTGAGAGGCTGTCCTGTTTGGCCCATTTTGTCCATAGAAGAGCCAGGATGGGCTCGGCGCCTGTGGCTCAAGTGGCTAAGGTGCCAGCCACGTAAACCCAAGGTGGTGGGTTCGAATCCAGCCCGGGCCC